TCGGAGGGATTCGGGATTAGTAAGTACGGTTTAGGGGTTTAGGGTTTAGGGTTTGGGGTTACTTAGAGGATCATGGGACTTAGTAAGTAGGGTTTAGGGGTTTGGGGTTTGGGGTTACTTAGAGGATCATGGGACTTAGTAAGTAGGGTTATGATTAAGGTAAATGCACTTATATCAACCCGAACTAAGGGACTTACAACCTTACGTACTAAGTCCTATGATCCTCCAAGTAGAGTGGTTTAGGGTTAAGGGGTTTGGGGTGCCGAGTTTAGGGGCTTTTAAGGGTGCAAGAACGGGACTTAAGACTGTAGCAGAAACTGCCAGGACACGCGTGCAGCATGTGAGCGGTTGGGTTTCGGGGGTTAGGGTTCTCGGGGCTCAGGTGCTTGAAGAAGCCATCAAGGGTTTAGGGCTTAGGGTTTAGATTAAGCCTGGCTCCCGACTGGAGGACGAGGTAGGGGTTTAGGGTTTAGGTTTTAGGGTTTGCTGAACAACGTCTTGGTGATGTGAACTTGATAGCAGCAAAACTCGCTTAGCACTCTTGCTCCGTGCACTTGTGTTCTAACTGTTGGAGCCCAGCAGTTTGAACCTTTGAAGCCTAAGCCCACTCTGAGATAAGGAGACATACCAACATATGGGTAGTTGTCAAACTTATGGTCCCTTCTGGGTCCTTATTATAATACGGTGCCTATTATTTAGGGTACCCTAAAAGGGACCATAATTTTGACAACTACCCATATGCATAAACTCAAGTATACCGAGAAACCTAGTTCAACTAATCCAGGAGCCCCGAAACAAGGAAGCTTAGTAGCTGAGTAGGTAACCCGTAACCATTCATATAATCCCTCACAATTGAAACGGTTAGCCTTTTTTGGGCTAGGGTACTCCCTCAACCCTCAAACCCAAACCCTAAACCCTCAACCCTTAAACCCTTAAACCCTTAAGCCCTTCAGCCCTTAAGCCCTTAATCCCTTAAACCCTAAACCCTAAACCCTATTAAACCCTAAACCCTATTAAACCCTAAACCCTTAAATCCTTAAGCCCTTAAGCCCTTAAGCCCTTAAACCCTAAACCCTAAACCCTAAAACCCTTAAGCCCTTAACCCTTAAAGCCCTAAACCCTACAGGAACATGGTTGCTGGACGTCTTTGTGGAAGAAGCTTCCTGCTGGGAGTGGTTTGATCAGGCCCGAGACTTCTCAGGGCTGGCACGGATCCTCAATAGCCTAACCCTTACCTTCAGGGGTTTAGGGTTTAAGGGTTTAGGGTTTAGGGTTTAATTTTAAGAGTTTAGGGGTTTATGGTTTAAGGTTTAAGGTCTAGGGTTTCGGGTACTTGGAGGATCATGGGACTTAGTAAGCAAGGTTATACGTCCCTTAATTCGGATTGTAAGTAAATATAGGAATAGTTACCTTAGGGCTCAGGACTCATATTTTAAGGCTTTTGGGCCCAAAGGCCCTCTTATGTGAGGCTTTGGGGCTATTTTGATGTTCAGGGCAATATGGGCGCCTAAATAACTACCAATACTGTTTGTTATTATTATTATTATTTTTTGGGGGGAGCTCCTTATTATAACTATAGTATACTGGACTCCAAACCCTTATAGGTATTAAAGACCCTTTTTGTTAGGGTTCACTTGGCTCCTGACTTTTCGAATAACCTACCATAAGCCCTAAACCTCTAGAGGACTTGTATAAGGATGTCATAAGAAGGAACCGTAGAAAGGCAGATACATCACGGTTCAGGTAGTGCTTACGGCTTAGGGTTTAGAGCTCACGGTTTGGGGTTGAGGGTTTAGGGTTTAGAGCTTACAGTTTGCGGTTTAGGGTTTAGGGTTTGGAGCTTACGGTTTGGGGTTTAGGGTTTAGGGTTTACAAACCCTAAACCCTAACCCTAAACCCTAAACCCTACGGTTTGGGGATTAGGGTTTAGAGCTTACGGTTTGGGGTTCAGACCTCAGAAGCATGAGACTCCCAAACCCTCTTAGTTCATACCTTAGACTCTATGGGGATTGGGTGGGGGTGTACTCCTTAATGAAGTCTAGGACATTTTCAGGTGGGTAGTTACCGTTATAGGAGCCTTATAGAAGGTCTATATACCTTATGGAAGCCTTATAGAAGCCCTATATACCCAAAACTCCACACCTGTAGTTTCCTTTAATGGAGGGGTGTGGGAATATGGATAGGTCTTTCGTCAGGGTCCCCTTTTATTCCCTTTGTAAGAGTGCTGTACTATGCTAGGTAAGGGGACCCTAATTTAGAGAACCGCCCATGTAGAGCCCTAAACCCTAAACCCCTAAACCCTAAACCCCCGGACAAGAACCTAGGACGCTCAGGGTTCGGCAGGTTGCAGAGCTTCTTCTTCCCTTCCTTCTTATTGGGCGTCGAACAGAAGGAAGCTCCTCGTCGCAATCCCTGTATTGGTGTTCTTTCTTACAGGTCCCAGCTACATGAGGGTAATGCCAAGCATACCCAGAGACCCCCAAAGCCCTTAAGCTTCAGGAATTTGCCTCAAGCTATCATAGGAACCCCAATATGAGCCCCAATATGATGTAAGGTATCAAATATCATAGGAACCCCAATATATAAGGTATCTTCCTTAATTGATGGGCTTTGGAGCCTCTGGGCACCTTCTCTGACATCCTTCAATGTGCACGAACTGTACAGTGCGGGGTTTTAGGGTTTAGGGTTTCGGGTTTAGGGGTTTAGGGTCTAGGGTTTAGGGTTTAGGGTTTACATAGGGGTTTAGGGTTTACGGTTTAGGGCTTGGGGTTTAGGGGTTTAGGGTTTACATAGGGGTTTAGGGCTTACGGTTTAGGGCATGGCAATTGTTTGGTGCAGGGCTCAGAGATGCTTTGGGTGCAGGCCACGCGCCCCAGCAATGGCACAGAATCCCCTCTAATTACCAACGTTTTTCCTGAGGCATCCCTCATCATAGTGATTCTGTTTTGACAGACCCCGAAACCCTTTTCTGGCCAGTAAGATGCCCGTAGGGCTTGTACTATATTGCGCTCTTGCAGGGTCTCTCCCTCTTAGATGCTGAGTAGTAGGAAACACAAATAAATTCCCCATTCCCCTAAACCCTAAAACTTAAACCCTAAACCCTGAATCGTACAACACCCCGTCAACACCCTATAGACCCTCAACTATCCTTATGAATCGCATAAGATACCCTTCTGAGTAAAGCCTCACTGGGGAGCCTTAAGCCCTAAACCCTAAACCCTAAACCCTAAACCCTAAAGTGTTCAGGGTTCCCAGAGCTTTGGCCCCCCCTCGATTTCCAGAATTTCCTTACCTTTCCACTCGTGAGGAGAAGGAGTCCGCCATGCCGTTAGGGCTTAGGGTTTAGGGTTTAGGGTTTAGGATTTAGGGTTTAGGGTTTAGGATTCAGGGTTTAGGGTTTAGGGTTTAGGATTTAGGGTTAAGGGTTTAGGGTTTGTTACGGTTTGGGGTTTAGGGTTTAGGATTTAGAAGCTCCAAAAAAACCCGTTAATTAAGGAAGATACCTTATCTCATATTAGTGTTCCGATTGTAAGTTAGAAGGTCTCTTCCTTACTTGAGGAGTTGTGGAGTCTCTGGGTTCGTCCTAACATGTAGGCTCGAAGAGAGTGTTATGTTTAGGGAAAACCCTAAACCCTAAGCCCTGAACCCTAAACCCTAAACCCTAAACCCTAAACCAAGACTTAGTGCTACCCTTCATGATTCCTCAGGCTTCCTGGGTATAATTTTGGTACAGCACTCCACCAAAACAACAGAAGTACAAATGAACCAAAGGGTTTAGGGTGTAGGGTTTAGGGTGCACTTAGAAGGATCTTGGGCCTTAGCAATTAGGGTTGTAACTAAGGTAACTGGCGTACTTACTCATTCCCATGAACCTAAGCCCTAAACCGTAAACCCTAATCCCAAATTAAGGGACTTATAAACCGTAAACCCTATACCCAAATTAAGGGACTTATAGCCGTACTTACTAAGTCCCATGATCCTCCAAGTAGGGCTTGGCATGCTGATGTGATCGGTGGTTTTGCTTTGGCAGCCCTCGCTCCACCAATATAAGGACTTTAGGAGGGACCCCTAATAAGGACCCTTAATCCCATGACCTTAAATAACCATTGTATAGTCCTTATATACCCCTTATATAGCCAGGTAGGCTCCATATTAACACTAATAACCTACAAGGGTCCCTATTAAGGGTCCCTCCTAAAGCCCTTAGAACCAAGGTTGTCTGTCAGTTCTTCGAAGATGGGCAGGAGGAGCTGTGCATCTGGCGGGAAACTGAAGTGGATGCCATCTCTTCCATCATGCTTGAGGCGGCTGAGGGTTCAGGGTTTAGGGTTGAGGGGTTTAGGGTTTAGGGTTTAGGGTTTAGGGTCTCCCGCAATTCCTTTTTCTCAAGTGGGGCTCCTCAACATACATTACCGGAGACGGCCCTGAAATAGGATCCTGGTTCTGAAACCCTGGGCCAAAGAACCCTAAAGAGTCCAATTTAGGATCCTTGTTATAAGGGTGTCGCCCTTCTTTGGGGTTCCGAAAAAAGGACGCTAACCCTAAACCCTAAGCCCTAAATCCTCAACCTTAACCCTAGTTTAGAGAGCTACCAACATCTCGAACGCTTTCTCACCCGACGGCAAAGCCAAGAGGTCTGAGGGTCCTTCGGGTTTAGGGTTTAGGGGTTTAGGCTTTAGAGGTTCAGGGCCTTTAGGGTTTAGGGTTTAGACTCCACATAGCGATATAGTGTATACTTCAGCCTTGAAAGGAGTTCCTTGATTAGGTACTTTCAGGCCAAATTGCGTATGCGTGCTATATGATAGGGTACATGGAGCCTTGACTTGGGGTTGTAATTTTGGGGCTCATATTTGGAATCCCCTTAAACCCCAAACCCTAAACCCTACGGTTAGGTATCTGAGCTCAGGATGGTTGTTTCGTAGGTGAGCAGATGCAGGGAGTACTTTATACTGACTAGGTATCTGGATCCTTATAGCAGAAGCCCAAAAGTTGGAAACCCGATAGCCTCAATTATGAAGAGTAAAGCATAAGGAATCCCAGCACTATTTGACCTTAATCCGGTTTCCAACTTTTTGGGGTTTACTATATAGGATACTTAAAGGATCATGGGACTTAGTAAGTAGGGTTATAACTGCGGTAACTGTACTTATATTTACTTATAACCCCAATTAAGGGAGTATAATTACGGTAACTATACTATACTTATAACCCCAATTCAGGGTCTTATACCTTACTTACTAAGCCCCATGATCCTCCAAGTACCCTAAACCCCAAACCCCAAACCCCAAACCCTAAACCCTAAACCCCAAACCCTAAACCCTAAACCCTAAACCCTTACTTACTACGTCCCATGATCCTCCAAGTAAGGTCCGAATTCCTTACTCAAGACCGTTGAACAGATCCTGAAGAAACCCTAAGACCCCCCATGCCCAGAAGAACCCTTAGGGGTTTGGGGTTTGGGGGTTTGGGGTTTAGGGTTTAGGGCTTTAGGGCTTTAGGGTTTAGGGTTTAGGGCCCTAAGACCCCCCATGCCCAGAAGAACCCTTAGACCCCAAGCCCCTAAGCCCTGAGACCGTAAACCCCAAGCCTCGAAACCCTTAGACCGTAAACCCTAAAC